AGAATGGCACAAGGGGGCAGCAGAGAGTAACTAAAAAAAATGCAACACAGCTTAAATATAAGGCAAAATGGAAAAGGAAACACTGACCAACAAAACAGAATGACATACTGTAAATAACTGAGCGCTCAAAAAGAAACTCAACAAGAAGTCCAAAGGGGGAGAACTATAATACTTTTGGCATGTTTTTAATGTTTTTTTTAATGATTTATCTTTGGGGATGAGCTCCAAGTCTTTGAGGTTGGAGGGCCTCATCACCATCTCCTGTAGAAATAATACCAAGAAAGTATGAGTTTTTTTCTACCTTCCCTGAGTGCATTAGTTCGTGTATTGATAATTCCATCTTTTTTATTGGAATTGCATTCTGCAATCTGCATTCTTATTTGACAATAAAGTCAACTAACTTTATTTTCAAATAAAAATTTGACAAATAAATTACTGTCTGGAAACATAGAAGTCCACCACTGACTCCTTAGTCCTTTCAGAGAACAAAGGATGTTATTGTAGGACCTGATTTTGTTCCTGGAGTTGTTGGATATCTCTGGGTAATGACACTCATATCCACCAGACTGCACAATGTAGAGTGCATTACTATAGGTAGTTATTTGAAGTTACTCAAACCCATGTCTATACTCTAGTTTGTGCATGATGACTGAGGACATTGTCTCTGCCCATAGCCGTATAACAAATACTATATATTTCGTGGTATTTACACTTTAAAATTTGGAAAAAATCATTTCACCCCAAACTACAGCCCTGTAAAACACCCATACCTTATAGTATATCATAGCAAAACAGTTATTTTGTGGGAGAGGTCTCTTATTGCAATCCATGTACAGTATCATTTTGCTGTTGACCTAAACACTTAGGTTAAACATAAAATGATGTGCATTCAGCATTAGGCCAACTTGTCCAAAGATTTATGCTCGATTTTGGAAAAATTTTGGAACTATTGCTACTAATTATTTGTTGGTTTACATCTTGTTCACCAGTGAGAGGTGTAAAACACACGTCTGGATTCTTTTGTTAAACTTTGGTCTAAAAAGCAAAGTAGCAATGGATGCAGAAGACACTTTCACTTGTTAACCCATGTAGCATTAGTTTACCATGAATAAAGACATCAGGCTGTTGGATGAGACATTGATGATAGTCGCAGTAATTCTATTTCAATCTGAACTAATTTCTGTGGGTTCTTAGCTTCAGGATTAGATATTTTTTTAGGGTCATACCAGTTCACATTTGCATGTTTGTTGTACAAAATCTGGACTCAAATCCCAGTGCAATTAGCTTAATATTTAAGAAAAGATGTAGAAATAGAGGAACCTAAATTAAGTGTGACTTGAGTTCAGCAGTCTAACAGCTGCAAGGTAGAAACTGTTTCTGATCTTGGTAGTCCTGCTTTAAATGCTCAATGGAACAGTTTGGAGGATGGGGAGCAATGGGGTAACTATCGGTAAGCAGAGACTGCAATTGCTTAGGGGCCCTGTCACTGACACCTGGTTGGCCCTCTATGCAATTGTGATCTAGGACGTCTCTTTGTAGATGTAATGGTGTGAAAAATTCCTCTTAAACCCAACTGATACTACAGTACGTCTACTGACCAGACCTTATTTATACCCCAAGAAATGCCAGATTTCAACATGATGGTGAGCCGTTTAAAAAAGACACCAATAGCAAAGCAGGTACTTTTAATTACTATGTTAATAACTGTGTATAGTTCATTAGACGGTTGTTAAAAATAATACACTCATATAATATGTTTCAAACCACAATAAAGATCTTAAAAGAACAATGTATTAGAGTATTTTATTTTTTCCACAACGACTTGGAATTATGGGTAATCCAGAGCGTAGATTAAAACCATAACCGTTACGTACAATGTGTTAGCGATGATGGATGCCAAAAAGAGGGTGTTGTACTTCATATGGGGCCCACCCTGATAATGTTGCTTACAGGCCTATTGTTGTGTCGTTACGCCATTGATGGGGAGTGCTCTAATTTTTCATCTTGATGTGTAGAGATTGAGATGGAGGAAACGCTGTTTCATGCAGTAATCTGTGCAGCCTCAACCATGCTCTGCGGAGCCATCCTCTCAGCATTAATGCTGCTGTGCCACATGATGATGTAGATGTAGGTATACTGTATAATCTCCACAACACAGCGATAAATGTCCCTCAGGACTGAGCTCCAGAGTCCACCTCTCTGCAGTTTCCTGAGGAATTAATGATGCTGATGGACTTTTCTGACCAGACAGGAAATGTTGGCACTCCAGGTAAGGTCACTAGACAAATGCACACCCGGGTACCTGTAGCTGTATCTCTAAGCACTTCATGACTACCAATGTTAAGGCTACAGATTGATAGTCATTCAGGCCTGTCACTGTGGAGCACTTAAAGCAGGTTGGAACAGATGCCAGTGACAGTGAAGTGTTAACATTTTCTGCTGACACTTTAGACAGCTGGTGTGCACCATCCCTTAGTACTCACCCTGGGATGTTGTTGGGGCCTGCAGCCTCATTGGGGGTGAACCCCTGGAGGGTCTCCCTCATGTCTGCTTAGGTCTCAAGGAGGGGTGTTTTACCAGATGGTGAAAAGAGCCGGGTGCTGATAGGGGTGTTGGGATTCTCAAAGTGGGCATAGAACCTGTTGGACCTTTTGTATCTGTGCTGTGTTGCCTGTGATGAATCTGATGACTTTCCACATGCGCAGTGGGTCATTGATGTTGAGGTGACACTGAATTTTCCATGTGTCTTTGGCCATTTCTTAGTTGGCTTAATCTGTCATCAGTGGTTGATATGCTGGCACCAGTAGGATGGAGATGTGGTCGGTGATGCCTCGGATGGGTCAAGAAAGAGCTCTGGTCTTGTGCACTAACCATAAATATTAGTTCCCAAAGTGTTGACCCCCCTACTTGGTTAAGGAGAAGTGCTGAAAAGCGACAGAGTGTCTGACAGTTTTACTTGATTAAAGTTTCCAGCAAACAGGTAAAATGCCTCCAGATGCTTTTTTTTGCAGCGAGCTATTGGTGTCATAAGGCTCTGTAGATACTTTGTTAGCATTAGCTCTAAATGACCAAATGAACACCCCAGTAAATTCCTATGGCAGAGATTATGGTCAACATTTCACTGTCATATGTTCTGACATCTTAGAAAAATCTTAAAATCTGTTTTTCTCCTGTACTAACTTGTATGTTTATCTCGTGTCTTTTATTCATAATTTTGTGTTTTTGTTTCATTTTATTAATGTTTTTGGACCACACTATACCAGCTTAACTCAATCAAGGCCAATGGAAAAACATTAAAGTCACTTTTTAATGTTTTACTTCTGTTAATGCCATCTTAAGTTTTTTTTTTTTCTTTTTAATGTCATACAGCCTGTTTTTCAGTCTTGCCTACTAGAGTCAAAATAAACATAAGAAATAGGCTCTACCCTTCTGGCAGAAGCTCACACTATTAACACTAATGCAGACAAACATAAACACTCCAGCCCTAAGAATAACTCTCCATTTTCTCTCCAGAGAATGATGTTTATTTCTCAGTGGCTGCTCAGCGTGTCGCTCTACCCGGCTCACTGAATGATGTTTATATCTCGACCAAGTCCTGATTCCACCCTGGAGAAATCTGCCCTCTGCACCTGGATAGTTCACCACCCTGAATAAGGAGGCAGAGACGGAGATCAAAGAACAGAGAGCCTCCTGCAGAACCCTCATTAAATTGTTGTTTGATTCCTCCCTCAGGGAAAAAAAACACTAGCTGTCATTGAGAGCTTTTATTATTTTCTAATGGTGCTTAATTTCTAAAATGGTTACAGGGCTGATGTCGGGTGCCTAACTAAAGGCAGGGTCAAAACAAGCTGTCATCTCTCTCACAGCTGACTGGGTATGGCTGTTGTTATTACACCAATGGTAACATTTCACACAGCAGTAAGATATCTCTGACATCTACTCTCAAAGGTCTTGCTGATGGCCATCATACAAAAAAAAAATAGTTTTAAAGATAATTCCACATTTAAAATATCAAGACATAAAACATGTCTGATAAAAGTCATAAATGTCCAATACAACAACAAAAAACCCATAAACAGCAAAATATTTAAATTTAGACCAATTAGAAGGTTCAAATAGAAAGAAGTTATACATATGCATATTAAATGCTGTTCTGTTTTTTTCTATTAGGCTTTATATTGTTTTGTAATCGAGCTGCTGTTAATTTTTTTTTTACTTGAACATTTCTCATTTTTACTTAAATAACCTTTTCTTTACCATCATTATTAATAATCACATGTTTCCTTTTTCTTTCTAAAATGTTTTAAAATCTCTTCTAATGTAAAGCTTAAATCTTGCAATTTTTTTTCATATTATTAAGTTTTGCCAAACTTCCCCTCTGTCAGACAGCAAAGACGTTTTTATTATATTTATATTATATTTATTATATTATATATATTTTTTAACAATATCGTTATCATCTGTTATATCTTATTATGCTATGAAGATTTTTATGCAAGAACATGAATTTAATGTATTTCTTTTTATTACTATGTTTCAATATCAAAAATTTATGGAAGAGGATTAGGGTCACTGAAAAAAACCAAAAAGTTAACTGATTTTTAAATTTTATTTCAGAATAGTATGAGAAAAAAGTCAGAATTCTGGCATTTTTCTCAGAATTCTGACTTTAATCTCAGAATTCTGACTTTTTAAAAAATCAGAATTCTGACTTCTTTTCTCTGAATTCTGACTTTTTCCTCAGAATAGAAGAATGTGGAAGAGATATGGAAGACATGTGGGACCACTCAGCTTCTTAAAATTCTGAGATTGAAGTCGGAATTCTGACTTTTTTCCCATATTAAAGTGAAATAATATTTAAAAAACAGTTAACTTTTTGATTTTTTTCAGTGGACCTAATCCTCTTCCGTAAAAATTACATTTTATTGAGTTGAAAATCTAATTTGTGGTCGAGAGCAAAGCATTGCACAACATTTCCCATAAGGCGTTAGGAAGGTTGACGTCATCATCCTGCGCAGAGCTGAGGTGGCGTTTGTAAGGAGGTAAACATTGAAGTTTTGTTTAAACTTAGAAGAATTAATGAGCTATTGAATCTTTCAGCTCTTCTTTTGTTGCAAGTACTTCTTTATTGAGCGTGTTTTAACTGTCCTACCTCCTGGTTGTTTTCTATAGCGTATTTTATCTTCAATCGGAGCCGTTGCTACGTTACGGTGCTAACATTTGGTCTCTCTGTCAGGCTCGTCGTTACTCAGACTTCCATCATGACTAAACTCCTTCAGTGGCTGCTTGGAGTCTCGCTTCTGGGTATCATATGGGCTGTGATCGCTTTCGACCTGCTGGAGCTGAGCGTCCCCGGGACCTACAGGGAGGTGGCCTGGTCCATGCCCCTCTACCTGCTGGTTTCATTCGGTTGCTACTCCCTGGCCACCGTGGGCTACCGGGTGGCCACCTTCAACGACTGCGATGAGGCGGCCAGAGAACTTCAAGAGCAGATCAAAGAAGCAAAAGAGGACCTGAGGAAAAAGGGGTTAAAGATATAAAACACATATTGAAACTGTGGAGACTGAAAAAGGGGGAAGAAAACGAGATATGTAGCTGTTAGATCATCTGGGAGCATCTTTAATGGAAATAGGAATGTGGACATGAATCACTGGAGAACATCAAACAGTCCTGGTCACGTCATGTTTTTCTTGGCAGAAAGTTAGTTTAAAGTTACTGGATTAAACTCACTTCCAATATTGTTTTTCCAATAGTTCTTCTATTTTGTTTTAAATATTTATTTTATTAGGATAAATTATCCCCCTGAGACCAAGCAACCTTAACAGATTTATTTGGAATTTTTTCCATTTGCATTTTTGCGCTTGCAGTGATTTGGGCCAATACTGATTCAGTATTACTTGTTGTTTTTTTTTCTCCTGTTTCACTTTTCAAAAACTTCAAAAAATAATACTAACAAGTTTTTTTTAGGTCTGTAAAATACAAAAGGAAAATAGTGTGTTATGAATTTTCTTTTCCATGTTTTAAATAATATTCTGCTCTGATTTGTTTTTGTTTCTGTGATTTTGGTTATGCAATTTTGTGGATTTTTTTTATTAGCACTATAAAAGATCAATATCTGTAAGATAATTTCTTCCTCAAGACTCAATTTTAGTTTCTGTCATTTTTTCTTTAAGGTTAAGGACCTGGATGGTTCTGTTTATTCGGTGAAGCATGTTGCTGATAAGCCCTTTTTTTTATTTCTCAACACAATTGTTCAAGCAAATTCAGCTGGGCATTAAGATAATTCGAAACAGCATCATGCTCTTAGTTTTAATCCATTTAATCAATAGGAAGCCATACAGTGCTGCATAATGTGATTGTGCATTTCTTCAAAAATATGGTTGGATTGTTTTACCCATCTACCTGTACCACCAGAAGCTTGCAGCATTTTACTGAAATCACAATAAGGTACTGAAAATGTTACAAAGGAACACTTGGTGCACCGACAGATATTTATTGGATGCTTCCAGTTGTTGTCTGCCGAGCTACAGTTAGATTTGAAGTGAAATTTAGGTTTTCTGTATTCCTTAAGAGCTTAGTGCTTGTCAGAGCAAATGGGCTTGGATTTTACCTGTAAAGAACTGTGCATTCCTCTGTTCAGTTTCTAAAATGTGCCCTTTAGCCATTTACTGTGAATTAATTAAACGAGAGCCTATTTTCTCAGCTGGTGTCTTTCTGTGGGTTGCAGGATCTGATGGTTTGTGCAATGTTTACTGGGTCTTTCCAAATTACGAACTGCCACTGGGCATAACCATATTTTATTATGCTATAATGAAAAATCATATTGCCACACAATTTGACAGACAAAATTTGCATGGTTCTCGTCAAAAGATCAAAATATTTAAGATGAAGTATGTGTTTTGTATTCTGTTATCCTAACAAAATTCTCCATAAAGCAATCTCTTGCTGCAATCAAAGCTGGAAGTCTTATATCTAAACCATAGCCCTCGCTGTATCATTGTTTTCCTGCTTGAAGGTGCACCTCAAAGTGCGCAGAGTACCTCAAATTTATGCAGCAGGAAAAGCACTGCTTGCAACTAACTCAAAGTAGAGAGAATCTGTTCTAGAAATTACTCAGGAGAAGAATAAGCAAAATAGTTCCTTAAGTAGTGAATAACCAATGGGTCATGACATCTGAATTAATGTTTAAAATAATGTAATTAGTCACTAACATGCAAAGGCTTGTGTTTTAAATTATAATACACAACATGATTCCATCATGGCATATTTTGGACAGTGGAAGCACTTTTTCCAAATCGACATAAAGAAGTTAAACAAATCTCCTGTAGGGTATGAATATATGACAGGAAGGGATAAAAAAACTTCCAGCTACAATATCTACTGTTTACAGTGTATTTATTGGATCTCTGAATTGCTAAAATTACTCATTGGTTCTAATAAAAATAGCAACACCCCGAAAACCAGAATTACTTCACTTGGGTAGAAAGTACGGTGAAGGTACAATTTCTGACAGTTTTTCATTTATTTTTTTTACGCTGAAAAAAATAATGCAACCCCTTTTGGCATTTACTTACTCATATTTTGTTACTTTAACACATTTTTTTTATGTCCTACCCTGCTAACATGAAATAATTGTGTTAAAGTAACTAAATATGATTAAGTAAATGCCAAAAACGGTTGTATTATTTTTTTCAGTGAATAAATGTAATTAGTTATTCCCCATGCCTGGTAAAAATCTGCTCCATTTTTAAGTCTTTTGCAGTGAACCAAAGTTCTTCCATCCAGGTTTCCATCAGTTTTTACCTGCTTTCCTGTCCTCTCTGAAGCAAAACACCACCTGAGCAGTATTGCAACCTTGTACCCATGTGTAATGGTATGCACTCTAAACGTTAGGTGCAGGACAGGTAAAGCCAGTTATTTATTTTTCTATATTACATTTTTAAACAAGTCATAGCATTTTGCATGGAGACTAAAATATACTATTAAGGCACCTCCCTCCTTATGTTTTCTAAATATCTTGTTGAAAACTGCTTTTTACGGCTTTCTTTTAGTAACAGCTTTTTATGCAGCTTTAACATAAATAGGCAGCTATTATAACTTGACCCGTGGGTCATCTTTGCTGCTTTGCTCGAACCCCACTGCCTTCCATTCCACAACTATTTGCTACTTGTGTAGATTTATCCCATAAATATCTCAATAGTATGCATTAAGGGTTTTGGTTGCAATGTGATTGAATGAGGAAGAATTCAAAGAACATCAAAACGTTTACAGTGAGGTTAATAGAAATGTAGTTTTCTTTTCCTTATAGAGTTCTGAATTCAAGCAAAACTCATCAAGCAATCGATTTTGGGAGTTACACTTCTTTTGTCTGATCCCTAACAAGCTGCCTTAGCTCATTTTTACTGAGTTCCTGCTGCATACAAACAAAGCTTTGCCCAACCAAAGGCATCATTATGGAGCTTCAAAAGATCCAATAACTTCTGAACAAATGCAAAAGAGTTGGCAGCTTTGCCTGCTGTGCTGTTTGGCTGCAACCCCATCATGCCTCGTAACGTTCTCTCATCCCCCCCATGAATCGTGCAAGCTGTTGCTTAAGCAAACTGGATGAAAGGCAACCAGTTACTTATTGGAAAAAAACAAACTTCAGATCTGGGAATTTCACTAAGAGCTTCCCTTGTTAGCCAGATTCATTCTCACTTGTAGCCACATATAAAGCTGTTTGGTCACTTTTTTTATCCTCACTGTCTCTTTTTAATGTGGTTTATTTGCACAAAACAAAATAATTTATGATTCTGGACAAAATGTTTTGAAGATAATTAAAAAATAATAGTTCAAAAGTGAAATTTGTTGCCCTTTCATTTAATTCCAATATTAGAAACATAAAATAGCTTTAATGAACCACATTTGTTCATCTTCTTACTTCAGCTGAAAGTAGATCCACTTGGATACTTAAATGAACTCAGATTTCACTTTGTTTGAACCAAACAGATTTGTTTCTGTGAATCATTTCAAGATTAGCAAAGAATGAGTAATTTCGCTCACCAGTGAAATTTTAACAAGAGGAAAGACGTTAGCTCTTTTTCTTTAAAAAGCATCTTGAACCTTTCTATAAATGCTGCCATCCTGATTCCTGTTTAGCTGCATATTTCGGCATGAAAAAAATAAAATCCCTATGTTGGTGTCAATGTGAGGAGACTTTTTCAAGGATTTTTGAAAACATCATACCCAGTTGTTTCCCAGCAAACTTAACAGAGCTGGAGGTAATCTATAGAGAAGAAAAATTGGAGAAAACACCAGAAAACAAGGTGCGCCAAGCTTGTAGAGACATACCCAGGAATACCTTTTGGCTGAAATCACAATGTGGTGAATAGAGTCATTCGTTTTGCATGTAATAAATTAGCAAAACTTACAGGCTAATCCTTTTCCCTTTGTTATTAAGGATTTATTTGTTAAACATTTTTGGAAAAGAAATCGACTTCATGCAAAGCTGTTGGTGACCCGATGACCCAATTTCGCTTTCTTCTTCCATTCAATCTCGATTGGATAATTTTGATGACCTGATCTCTGAGCCACTTGGTCATCTTTGTGACCAATCTTTATTATCCACATGTCCACAGCAGACATTCTCCTCAGGAACTTAATAAATGTAATTTATCCCTTTAATTTATGCCAAATGGTAAAATACCATTACAATTTGAATTGGTCAAAGGAAATTCATCATAATGTTTAAATAAAGTGTTTGTCTCTCTGACTTAATAATAAATCACGGAAATGATAAATAGATAACAGCTTTGTTCAGTCCTTAAAAATGTTGCCGGTAATGTCCTTATACGATACAGCTGAACTCTACACATTTTATTTTCTTTAGGTGATGTGACAGATTGTTATTCTTGAGCTAGATTTGATTCGCAGATCATAAAGCCTGCAGAAAGAGACAAACAAAGACTTGCTGTCCCCCTCTTCTTTAACCTAAAGGAGATTTTGCCAATGAGAACAGCAGCACTTTGGTTCATGCCCGCCGCATGGCCCCTCGGGGACCTTAAAAAGCTCTCTTTGAGACATTCAGTGACAGTGCCGGGAGAAAATTCATCTTAACATGACTAAAAAATGATAGGTTATCGTTTCCGTCCTCCGAAAAGACTCCCTTTTCCCCACCCACACGTTTCACAGCAAAACCTCAAACCCATCGCGAGACGGACAGGAAGGCAGAACGAGTCGGTAATCAGAGCCTTTGGACAAGGAGATCGAGATTTTGATTTATTTCCTACAGAATCGGTGACCTTGACAAGATATTTCAGACTGGTATGAGGTGAAGTGCAAAGCATGAAAAAAGAAGGTGAAGTGACTAAGGCAGACAGGAAACTAAACCATGAGCTGGTGACAAAGATGACCTTGGCTGTGGGGACAGTCTGTGACAGAACCTTTTTCGGGAAGGGGAGACCACACCCCAACCTTGGCAGTGGGCCAAAGTTAGCCCAAAGGTTCAAGCTTATTCTGCAAAAGCGGTATGCTCAATTTCCCAGCAGCCTCATCTGACCCTGCCATCACCCAAAGCTTTAACATACACCAGAAAAAAAAAAAAAAAGAATGAAAGGCACTAATCTGAACTAGCAGAATATCATCAGAGCATAATAACAATGCAAAGAAAAAAGTCACCTCTGGGTCAGGGTTTTCTAGAACAGCTGCTTTAATACTTATAGAATGCTGGTTTTCTGATCAGGCCAGCTTGGTGGCTTATAAATGCTCCAAATAGCTACAAAGGCATTAGGTGACCTGTCAGAGGTCCTCTGAGGCAGACTGTTCTGGCTTCTGTGAGATCAACCATACGCTGGCAGGCGAACAGGGACCGCTCGTCATTTGTCCTGCTGATAGGAGATTTGACATAGCTCAGAGAGGCAGAGATGGACCAGCTGGTTTTGGAAAACGTAACTTCCATGGCTGCATCCCAGGTTTCAGTATCACTCACAGCACTGGCTCTCTAAAAACCATAATCATAACCCACAGAAATGAAAAAAAAAGGAATGTGGTTTGTAATGTATGCTTGTTTTCTAGTTGAAAATACAAAAAGATACGTTTTTTTTGTATTGGCCAGCCTTATGCATCTAAAGAACAACATTTTTGCAAAATGCCACAAGCTTCAGCATCTCCCTGTGTGATGCTACCATAAACAGTGTTTGATTCTTTAGTGGTCATTAGGTTGTCTGTGAAACTTATCATGAGAGATTTGTTAAAATCTCTCAATGCTTTGCAAAGGTGTGAGGAAAAAATATCAACCTCTGTCATTGCACAAAATATATCAGAAAATGATGTTAGAAATGAGAAAAATGTAAAACTATATACAAATATATTGGCTCATGTGCCAAAACCTGTGATAATCTCATCTTTTATGTGCAGCTAATGCAAGACTTCTTGACATCATCTGTGTTCTTATTTGGAAAATTTTTGGCCGCCTCTTTTTAAGCTTCCTCTTCGATACTGCCATAATCAGTTCATCATAATCTATGTCTTTCCATTTCAACTGAAATAAATTGGAAATATTTCAGAAGTGTGTGTGAGAGCTTGTAACATTTCAGTAGTGTTTTTTTACAGCAAATTCAAAATGTTGTCCCTTACAGCTCCTCATAATGTTCTGCCATACAGAGGGCTTTTTCAGTATAATGTGCGGAGTTAGTTTTCTGCCACAAATGGAGTTTTGGATTTGGGTTAAGTAAGTCAAACTGAACTGAGCAAAACACCTGGCCCTACATGTTGGTCATGTTCTCTGGCTTCTTTTATTCCAACATTAGCTTACCCTTGTCACTCTTCAATTAAAGCCTGATTTGTGGAGAATGATTTTATCAGAGATATGCACCTCT